AGCTCTGATTAGAACTTATAAAAAGGTCTCGAGATGGGTACAAAGAGGTCAGATTCATCAATTTGTGTATGTGAGTACCTCCAAATATGTATATGCATATATAGTCATTGTGTAGGTACGTACATTGTGTTTGAGTTGCGTGCTCTCAAACAGTTCAATGTCACGGTCTATCGAGTCAAATGGCTAGAACAAAAAGATTGTGAGGCCGACACCGTTATCTCGAGAACACAAAGTTAACAGGAGATGAGGCTATACGGGACATTCCATTTCGGAGCTACGAGTACCAAACGTTAGTTGAATGGTCTTAGTGGTCTAGCGGTTTAATGCATAGCTTTACTTTCGATGGCTGCAGATTCGATTCCTCGAAGTATATAACGTATGTATTTATAAAAAATATTAAAGTATTCCATAAGTTTTTCTAGTAGTCAAGTCGTCTACGAGCTCTGTTCTCGGCACTAGGAGGCGCCGTGTGAACTGTTCAGTGTCAGGTCATATGTGGGTATCTGATAATGTCAAGGAGTCAGTGCTATCAATAAACCTCTTTTTAATTTCTTGCAGAAGGCTGTGTACTACTGGACATCTGTATCTGTAACATAGCCAAAGTACGTATCATAGAGGAGGCTCAGATCATCGTGCGCCGTATGTACTAGTGAGTGTTATCTATTGCTCTGGCTTGGTATCGATCGATAATGTAATTACTGCGGGCACGTCGTCCGTGGCAGCGGCCCGGCCCGGCCCGGCCCGGCCCGGCGCGGCCCGGCGCGGCGCGGCGCGGCGCTCGCATCGCATCACTCGGCACCTACGATCGCGACGCGGACGCTACAATTATAATTAAACGAATGTAATCGGTGCGGGTTACGTCTATTTAATTGTGTTGTTTGTGTCTCCGAAGTATCGCGCGGCGGGGTGGGGCTGGTGGGGCTGGTGGGGGGTGGGGGAGGGGGAGGTAGCGCCACGTGCGCCCGCGCCGCCGTCGCTCCGCGCAGTCCTCGCACCGTCGTCGCTCGCACGCACGCCACTCGCCCGCTCTGTGCTGCCGTGCTGCGATCGTGTGCGCTCGTCCTGACATGACACCCAGCTCCGACCGCGCTCCTCCCTCGCAGCAGACCCTGGCCGTGAATGTGCTCGACCCTGGCTGCAGTGAGTCACTCCCGCAGCGGATCGCAGACTATTGTACTCGCTAGTTTATAATTGTGTGCCGCGACGTTGTTTGTTGACATATTAGTGAGCTCGGTGGTGGTGAGAGTGATTGGACTTCAACGGTGTTGCAGCACTGTCGCACCCCTGGTGAGTATTATGTACTGTACTAACAGCCTTATGCCGTACATATGTTATGAAGGGTAGCTAAAGGTATACACACAGACTATATTAGAAAATTATTTATTTTTGTACAAGGAATTGTTGTGTATCAGTTTTTAATTTTGTTGTTAATATTACGGTGCCTTGTGTGTGAGTGTGCTTTTGCGTGAAAAATTTTTAAAAGAAAAGAAAGAATTATCTAATACAAGAAGAAAACATATGTATGGAGAACAAATTAATTTAAAAATCATGCCAAAATATAACAATCTTTTTACTTTGACAAGATACACGAGTGTAGAGTGAGCGTTAATATAATTTTCTAAATGAATATATATGAAATATGGGGAGGGACGAAGGCCAGAATGCTATAAAAATATACGCCGCTACATACTTGTAAATACTTACTACGCACAAGTTTCATAGTGTCGTTACGATGTCGCCTGCAATATTCGCAATGTTGCGATTACATTTGTTTGCAATTTTATTGCGATTATTTTAGGTAAAGTAGAAAATATTTGTATTACCCATGTTTAAATGTATCGTACGTTTATGTAGTACTAGCCTTTACCAGCGGCTTCGCTCGCATAACTTTACTACTGGCTGTTAGATGGCGCTAGAGTAGCAAAATGTTAATATTTATTTTTTACAAAAAATATTTGTTTTTTGTATGTAAAAGTATTCTATGTTCATTGTAATACCTCCAATAACATGTGTACATAATATCACGATGATCGGTTCAGTAGTTTTTGCGTGAAAGCGTAACAAACATCTCCACTTTCAGGCTTATAATATTAGTAAATGTGTTACAATATACTTAGACATAATAAACCTTGACGCTGTACCTTCTCACTACTACTTCACATATAACACTCGTGAAATAAAACCATCAGGTACGCGTCCCATGCGAGTAGCGTTTATTTCATATTAGTTTGTTAGATTAACTAAATAGCTATTGTGATGCCTATTATAGGTATTTGTTATAATAAATTGCGGCGCCGTCACTACAATACAAATATAAATAAAAATCGTCAGCAGAATAGTAGAGTTAGCCGCCCCAGGTGAAACAAGCTGCCTAATCACAATTTAAAGCGAGCATGATTACTTTTAAAGAATATATTCGTATATGTATAATATATATACTGAAGTAATTATTTTTATCATATTAGATAATCGGTCGTCATAAGAAACAAAACAATTAAAAATATAACAGTCCTGAAAATATGCACAATAATTATTTTCTTCAGCAATTTCATGAAGTATAATCTATTTAAAAAAAAATGTCTACAATAAAGTCATAAAAGCGCCACGAAGAGAAGACTGTCTGTTTATTTTTGTCTGCTTGTGGTATTTTAATGGATGATAATGGAATGGTGCGGCCGCCACCCGCCTGCGATAACGGTTTGCGTTGGTGGGGCACCAGTGGAGGATGATAACATGAGCATGAGGTCAAATTTACTAGGAATTTATCCAGGGGAAACCGCGCGGAGGTCAACCCAACATGGCATATGACTGGCATGCGGTATAGTGCACATAACTAACAAACCCTTTTGCTTTCACGTAACAACGAGTGTTGTTGTATATACGTCCCAACAGGCTACATACAAGCCAATAATAAATGTAAGCAGAGATAAACACAGCCTTAAAGGGGGTAAATCATATATTAGTTATAATATGACATCTATATCATTAAATAGAAGGTGCCGTTGAAAAGAGATTTTTATTGTTATAGTTTGATTATTAACACTAGCTGTACTTGCGACTTCATCCGCGTGGAAAATAACTTTCTTTTTCTAAAATAATAATAGCCTAAGTTACTCCTTATTACATCAGCTACCTGCCAATAAAAGTCCCGTCAAAATCGGTCCAGCCATTTCAGAGATTAGCCGGAACAGACAGACAGACAAAAATTGTAACGTACCGTATTTATATTCATATGCATATAGTGAAAAACGGTTATTTCAATATTACAAACAGACACTCCAATGTTATTATATGTATATATATTAAATAAATAAACAGATGGCGATTTACAAATGTACACGCGTTCAATGAAACAATTAACAAAACATTCATAGACCACACTTAGTAATAGGCCGACGCTCACAACAACGGACAGACAGTTTTAGTACAATACTGGTAATAATAATAGATAACTAGTTAGTTAGCTAAATAAATAATTCCGTCGCGTGTTACTTACGACTACAATTGCAATGACGGCGGGAGGACGCAGCCGCCTAGCCGTGAGACTGTTTCTAATGTTTACTCCACTAAATCTGTCCACAAGTTGTTGTTTATCATTCTACAAATTAGCTGAAACTGGAACTTTATTTTAGTCTTATGTGCGTCCGTTTCCTTAGATCCTTGTACTAATATACCTGTTGCATTTAGCATTAAATTCAAATTTAAAAATCATTTATTCATGTAGGACGTTTTAGCCGCTTATGATCGTCAAATTATAAATATTTTTCGGTATATAGTTTTAGTTCGGTATATTGATCCAATTGAGAAGAACTGCCACGAAACTCAATTGAATTACTTTTTTTTTAAACCCATATTATTTACAATGTATATTTATATAGGAGTCTATATCCGACATTAAATGAAAATCCCGTGGCAATAGTTGTTCATCTATTGCCTGCATGGCAATAGATGAACTCGCTCGTCATTCAATAATCGTTTAGGTGCATATTTGTAACTTGACGAGTCGCCGAAACTGCTACTGTTACGTTTAGTTAATTTTCTTTAGTTTATTCTTTTGATAATTTAAGTATTCATAATATGCAATTTAGTCAGAAATTTGTTGGTCGGGAATTTGGAAAACGAGGACGCCATCTCGTTTCTATTGATCGTACTGTATGATTGAATCCCTAACGTAAGTTAGTTCTAATATTTGGTAACCAGCCTGCCGGGAGGCTCTCAACTCTCAACCAGGGAGTCGTTCATCCCGGAGTTCGGCAGAGGACAAAGGGGGTTGCCCCCTGGTTTTCCTTCCATACTAGAGGGGTGGGGATGTCCTGTGTCATGTTGATTAAATTGCTCATATAAAGCTCATAGTCAATTTTACAATAGTATCACGCATTTAGTAATTGTAATTGTACAACATACGTGTCCTGTGTGTACAGCGCTGCAGTAAATGTAAGGGGCGGCGGCGGCCGCAGCGAGCGCCGGCCGACCGTCGCGTCATGCTCGGAACGCGGCCGCTCATACTCGTCGCCTGCGCGCTGCTGCTGCTAGTACACGCCACCTCCGGAACCGGAACCGGAACAGGTACATTACATTGTTTTGTAAATATTTATGTGTTTATTATAGCGATACTAGGATTATTTTTTTGGTGATACTATTTATAAAAAAAAAACTAAGCCACTGACTGGTTTTCACAAATATCAAAAGAATAATAGTTTTAAAATCTACATCACCACATATAAAGGCGACACAAACTAGACCACGACGAGATTATAAAGTTAGGAAATGATTACGGCAACAAATAATGTTAAATTATTATTATTTTATTATAGAGAATGCTCACTCAGTTGGTGTATAGTTGATATTATATTATTAGAAAACAGATCCAAGTTGATAGTTTCAGATAGTCTGATAAATTGTTGTTTACAAATAGAAGAGGATTGAGTCTCGTTAATGATCGCGGCATGTCAATAGATAATTTACACGTCATGATAAATCGAAGCGCCGTTATGTAACCACGACAACTACGGCGTAGTATAATACAATATAAATCAGTCGGCCCAGGCCCTCGGGACGGAGAAGATGACGAGGAGTGGACGGTGACGGTGAGCGCGGTGAGCGCGGACGGTGCGGCCGCCAGCGGCGAGGCGCTGGCGCAGCTCGCGGCGCTGCGCGTGCGCGCGGCCGGCGTGCGGGCGCGCGTCGTGCCGCCGCCGCCCGCCTGCGCCGCCTCCCCCGCGGAGGGCGCGTGCGCGGCGGCGGCGCTGCGCGCGCTGGCGGCCGGCGAGCTGCACGCGGCGCTGCTGCCGGTGCCGGCCGCCGCCGCGCCCGCCGCGCCCGAGCTGCGCGACGCCGGCCTCGAGGAGCTGGGCGACGCCGCGCCGCCCGCGCGCCGCGCCTGCCTCGCCTCGCGCCCGCCGCTGCGCTCGCTGCTCGACCTGGCCGACGCGGCCGCCGCGCTCCCCTACCGCCTGCCGCCGCGCCGCCTCGAGGCCGCCGCCCGGTGAGCGCCGTCCCCTTCTATCTCCAGTCCCGACCTTACGCTGCTCGGTGGCTACGCTCGCCTCTCGTCGAGCGAGTCGTGGCCGATTTTATACCGACGATCGTAATGTGATGATCGTAAATGTGGTCATCTGTTATTGCTATTACTTTTTTCACTTTAATGAACAGGTGGGATTGATATCTTCCTTATATCCGTTGCAGAGTTTTCTGCGAATCCACCGATTGCTCCGTCGATGAATTCACCCCGGACTACTGCATCGGAGAAAACTCGACGTGCGCCACGCTGCTCACCAGTGATACCGGCGAAGTAAAAATATTAGAAGACGTCATTCGAAAACATGAGCTGCGCGCCCGCGTAGTCGCGCTGGGGCCGCACCTCGCGAACGTGACCGAAGCTCTGGCGGCGCGCCGTGCCGTGCTGGTGTGCGACCGCGCCCCCGCCCTGACCGCGCTGGCCCGTCTCGACGCCTCGCCGCTGGGGCCTCCGCCCTGTGACGCCGAAGAAGTGTGTCCGTTCGAGCCACGGCGACTCATCAAGCTTGCGAACGCCCGCTCTTTGGCACGAACTCCGAGCGCACTCCGCGTGCTCACACGCTTGCATCTCGATACTCAAGATTTACGCGAACTGGGCATTCAGGCGAATACCATTGGGCCTCTGCCCGCCGCCGAAGCTCTAATCAAGAAGCGTCTGCAGGTGATGTTACCCGGTGAAGTGCGAACTGCCGTGCTTCTACCTTTGAATACTTCGCGGCAAGCGTACGATGCCAGGGCACTGATCGCCGCCGCGACGCTCGCCGAACAGGACCTCGAGGAGGAAGCCGCTCCAAACATGGCGCGTTTTAAAACGGAGCTGACGGACGACGGGTGCTCCGCTCCGCAGGCGTACAAGTACTTGACGGACGCCCTCGGCACCGGCGAGTACGGGGCGCTGTCGGCCGTGGCGGGCCCGGCCTGCGGGGCCGCGTTCGCCGACGTGGTGCGGCTGAGTCCGGCGCACATGATGCCGGTGCTGGCGTACACCGCGCAGGCTCCGCCGCCCGCTCCCGCGACCGAGCTCACTCTGCTGGCGGCGGGCGACGCGCGCCTCTACGCGGAATCGTTCGCGGCGCTGATGGCACACTACGAGTGGCGGCGGCTGGCCGTGCTCAGCGAGCCGGCCACGCGAGCCTTCTTCGACGGCACGCGACTTCAGACCGACGTCATCATACACGTGGAGCTGCCGGACAGCGGCCCCGACGTCCAGTACGAACTCATCAAGCAGGTGAGACTTCATTCATTCATTTCGCTTATTCATATTGACATCGGTGCTAAATATTTAATAGTAATATGAGTCTTATAAATAAGGCACGCACACCATAAGAATGTAATGATTTTTTTTTCATAATTTAAGAATTGATACGACACCATTCCAACTTTTTCTTTAACTTATATATTATAATGTTTATTATAATAGAAATTAAAATTCTTTGACGGTGTCCTTAGGTACATCGGGAGAACTAAACATATATAGAAAAGAAATAATAGAAATTGAATTCAGAGATTACGATAGTACATCGGAGTCTATACACACTGTGAGTACAGCGCCGTGGTAATATTTCCAGTGGGCCGACCGCGTGGCGAGCGCCAACGCCAAAATAGTGTACGCGTGCCTGGAGGACGCGCGCTCGGTGCGGGCGGCGCTGTGCGCGGGCGGCGCCGCCGGCCTCACGCCCGCCGCCGGCGCCGTGTGGCTGCTGCCCGGCGCGCTGCCGGACGGCTGGCTGGCGCCCGGCGCCGGCGACCGGCACGGCTGCTCGCGCCGCCGCCTCGAGCAGCTGGCCGAGGGCCACCTGTCGGCGGCGCCGCGCTGGCAGGCCGACTGGGAGGACGGGGAGGACGGGGAGGGCGGGGAGGGCGGCGCGGACGACGCGCGCGCCGACGCCTGGCGCGGCCGGCTGCGCGCGCGCTGCGCCGCCTGCGCGCGCCCGCCCGCCAGTGCCGCGCTGCTCTATGACGTCACGCGCCTGTGGGCCGCCGCGCTGCGCCGGCTGCTGGCCGCGCACCCGGCCGCGCTCGACGACCTGCACCGCCCGGAGCTGGTCAGGTGAGCCGCCACCGCCGCCTCGGCACAGATAAATTAGATATTATTATCTAATAAAACAATTTATAACATTTTCATAGTGACTTGCTTATTTTCATATAGGTAAGTCTATATATATAGGACACAATTGCATATCAGTAAAATGTTCAACCTTATTCTATTCCATTCGTGATGATCGACCGTTCGCAACCACGTCAAACATCGTGTCGGCCATCCACATTTCTACTGTAATTTGCAGAACGATATATAAAAACCCACCGTGTAGGACCTTAATTCTACTCGTGCAATATGTTCTATACCATAAATAGCGAAGCGATAGAAAACACCGCAGTGCGATCGTTCGACTGGCTGCCTTATTTTTGTTTCATTTGCATATGATCTGTATCGGTTTCCAGAGCGCTGATCGAGAACGTGACGGAGGGCGAGTACTCGGGGCTGACGGGCCGTTTCTCGTGGACGCGGGCGGGCGGCGCGGTGTCGCGGTCGTCGGGCGTGGTGCTGCGGCAGTGGGCGGGCGGCGCGCGGCGGCGCGTGGGCGCGTGGCGGCGCGGCGCGCTGGCGCTGGACGCGGCGGCGCTGCGCTGGACCACGCCCGACGGACGCGCGCCCGACGACGGCGCGCCGCGCTGCGGCCTGCAGCCGCTCGCCGACTTCCTGCACAGCGACTGCCGCGCGGCGTTCATCGTGCTCAGCTCGCTCCTGCTCGCCGCGCTCATATCGACGCTGGTCGGTGTCGTCTTGCACTGTAAGCGGCGAGCGGAACTCGAGTATCGCGCGCGTCTGGCCGCGCTGGACATGCGCACCTTCGGACTGAAGCCGGGCGGACTGGACCGGTGGGAGCTGCCCCGGGAGCGCGTCGTCATCAATAGAAAGCTCGGCACCGGCGCTTTCGGAACCGTGTACGGCGGGCACGCGCTGCTCGCCGAAGATCGCGGCTGGACGGCCGTCGCCGTGAAGACGCTGAAGGCCGGGGCTACGACGGAGGAAAAGTTAGACTTTCTCTCGGAAGCCGAGGCGATGAAGCGCTTCGATCACAAGAATATTATACGTTTACTGGGAGTGGTCACGAAGACGGAACCCGTGTGCACCGTGATGGAGTTCATGTTGTACGGCGACTTGAAGAACTACTTGCTCGCTCGGAGGCACCTGGCGGGCGGCGGCGGCGGCGGCGGCGGCGAGGAGGACGCGGCCGAGGAGGTGTCGGCGCGGCAGCTGACCAGCATGGCGCTGGACGCGGCGCGCGCGCTGTCCTACCTGGCGCAGCTGCGGTACGTGCACCGCGACGTGGCGGCGCGCAACTGCCTCGTCAGCGCGCACCGCGTCCTCAAGCTGGCGGACTTCGGCATGACGCGGCTCGTCTTCGAAAACGATTACTACCGCTTCAGCCGCAAGGGCATGTTGCCGGTGCGCTGGATGGCACCCGAGAGTCTCGCGCTCGGCGTCTTCTCGCCGGCCTCGGACGTGTGGTCTTTCGGAGTGCTGCTCTACGAGATCGTCACTTTCGGCTCGCTGCCCTTCCAAGGCCTGAGTAACAGCGAAGTCCTGGCGCGGGTCAAAGCCGGTCAGACCCTCGAGTTACCCTCCGGACTGAAACCGCAGCTGTGAGTAAATATTATTTTGTAACTTTAGTTTCTCTACGGAGATACATCCGTCTCCAAATTTTGTTTTAGTATTTGGAACGTACTAATTGGACTGCGTGCTTTTCGGGGCGGGCTCGCAGGGAGGGGCTGATCAAGTCGTGCTGGCAGCAGGAGTTCCGCGCGCGGCCGGGCGCGGCGGAGGTGGCGGCGTTCCTGGCGGACTGCCCGCGGCTGCTGGCGCCGTGCCTGGACGTGCCGCTCGACGCGCTGCCGCTCGACGCCGACGCCTGGCGCCTGCCGCGCGACCGCGCCGAGGTATGATCGCCACTTCTGATGCTGACGAGGTTGCAATTCGGTATAAGTAGCACATCACTGACACATCGTTTGCTGAATACGTCAGTGACGACACTGAATACTGATACCGAATACTGTCTGACTGAATATGTAAATCATAAGTTACAAGTTCGCACCTCGCCCCTGCACCGCGCCGGTGGTGCGCGTGGGGCGGGCTGCGAGCGTCCTGTTGACCTGTGTTCGTGGCCCGCAGGCGCGCTGGGTGTCGTGGGCGGCGCCGCCGTCGGCCGCCACCGACACCACGTACCTGAGCGCGGACGCGCCGCCGCCCGACGAGGCCGACGCCTTCCTCGCGTGACGCGTGTCACGTGCCGCGTGTCACGTGCCGCGTGTCACGTGCCGCGTGTCACGTGCCGCGTGACGTGACGTGCCGTGACACGACGCGAGTCGCGGCCGAGCTGCGCCGCACTGCGCCGCTGTGTTCCTCTTAAATTAATCATTCCAAGATATTCTAGTCAAATCACTGGTTTCACGGTCGAGGGGATCGATACTAATTACGTATTTTAATACAGGTGTATTTATTTTATATCATATTATGTACCGTTTTATATATAACATATATAGTGTATACACATATTATTATATCCCTTTTTATATATTTAGCTATTTGTATATATTTTATGCCATTTTTTTAGTTATCATATTTGCACCACCAAATATTGTTATCAGTATCACCCATGTCAGACTGAGAGAAAAAACCGTATGGTGTTATGTCCGTCAAATGTATTATTTATTTTATGTACTGTGAGCAAAAAGTCATGTAAATAAATATAATTATGTTTAGTTAGATAACAGTCAAAAAAGAATCACATATCAAAGAGTCTCAGTTTTCTTTCAAATCGTCGATCTTAAACTATTAAGTGAATTGCCACTTAAGCTAAGTGTTAAATTGCGTTTATACCAACAGATTGTGTTATATATGTATGTAATATAGTTATTTATGGATGTTGGAGTCGATAACAATATCAATCATGTATCCGCCCGCCTCGCTGAACTTTAGCTAAACGATGTAAATATTAATGTTAAGTAGAATAAAACGAAGAAATACATTTGTTATTTTGATTACGTGTGCTTTATTGAACATCCTAGTACTCATATTTATGACATTATAAATATATTTAATCAAGTTTAAACAATTTTATGGTAACTAACGTACGGTATGGTATGGTAACTAACGTTAAAGTAGTTACCAAAAAAATATTTGAGTTAAAACCTGTTCAACTAATAATAAATAATAATCCTAATACTCGTAATAACCGTAATTAAGAAGCGGAAAACGTCAGTTTCTACTTAACATGCAATGCAAAATGAAATAAAACTGAACTTTCTTTAAAGAAATTTTCATTGGTTTTCAGTTCAGAAAAATTGTCTGAATTGACTGTTTCAGTTTTCCACAATCTGTCCCTTACATCCTGTATAATGTATAACTGACATTCATTATTGTTTTAAAATTCTTAAAAAAAATACAATTTCATACCTGTTCGAGAATCCTTGTCCGAGAAAGCACGGATGCCAAAAACCTGCATGTAATAAATGGAGAAATATGTCCCAACTAACCTACACAACTGTAACCATACTCTATTATTTATAACCTTAACGAATATAGTTATATTAGAAGAATAAACAAAACATTAATGCTTGATTGGACAAGCCAACAGCAGCGATAATAAATTAGTAATTAAATTATATCCAATTTACAGGAAAATGATAACAACAAACAAAGTAACGGTGTTTGCACATTGTTATAATAGCTAATAGAGACACGAGCAGTGCCAAGTGCAAGTCTAAACTGGTATAACCCAGCAAATTGTAATATCGTTATATTGAATTTATTAATGTACGAGTACTGACGGTTACCCGCTTCGTTCGGTTTTTTTGAGATAACAGGACTTTAACAAATTGATTTTTGGTAAAATTTTAAAAATACAATAGTAATAAATTCGACAGGTTAAATGTAAATCTATAAAGATATTTCATATGTTACACTACTCCGCGCGGTGCCGCGGCGTGCGCTTACATACCTACTCTCTACCCTGCCGCCCCGTTATCTGTTACCTCTATGACTCGGCTCCATATAGAGTCGACCAAATAAACGTAAACAACAATTGTTAAATGTGGGGAGCGCATTGTGCGAGCACTCGTTCCCGCCGCGCATACATGCCGCGCCGCGCGGCCTCGCTCGCTCTGTGTGCGCTGCTCGCCGCGCTGGCGGCCGCCCGCTGTGGAGCCGGGCCCTGTGATACACTACACGCGCTCTACTCTAGCAGTAAGTTGTGCCATTTATACTTATTATCTAATCATAATATAAATGAAATTAGAGTGTCTGTTTGTAATATTGAAATAACCGGTTTTTACTACATATATATGAATATAAATACGGTACATACACCAAAATAACCATTTTTACAATTTTTGTCTGTCTGTCTGTTTGTTCCGCCTAATCTCTGAAATGGACCGATTTTGACGGAACTTTTTTAGGCAGGTAGCTGATGTAATAAGGAGTAACTTAGGCTACTTTTATTTTAGAATAAATAAAGTTAAATTTCACGCGGATGAAGTCGCTAAACAGCTAGTGAATTATATAAACACATATACATAGAGACAATACAAGACAAACGAATTAGAATGAAGGGTTATACAAACGCGTGGTGTGCTTCGTAGCAGAGGGTGCGGGGGCGGCGTGCGCGGGCCCGGCGCGGGTGTCGGTGTACGGGCGGCCGCGGGAGGTGTCCGTGTGGTGGTCGGGGGCGGGCGGGCGCGCCGCCGCCGCGCTGCTGCTGGCCGCCGCCGCCCACGGCCTGCGCTACTCCGGGCTGCGGCTGCGGCGCGCGCACGCCTCCTCCTGCGATTTCATCCGCCAGCTGCCCCACAACTGCAAGGACCACAACGACGAGTACGACGAGTGAGTCGTATTAAATCTCATAGAATTTAAACACTACACTGACCTATCGATGATCCTATTACCTAAAGTCTGCACTTAGGAGAGTTCTTAGTGCGGTGCAGATGGAGGTCGGTCATTTGGACGTTCATTCATAGTCATTCATAGTTTCAATCAGGCGATCGTCTGACTTTCGTAGTAGATGTGTGTATGAATATAAAACCACGGAATAGAACATTCATATTTTGAAAGAAGACGTGTGCAATCTTTACTTTTTAGATACTACTTGCACATTATCCATTTTGTATAAAATTACCACTAACTTTTCTCTGACATATGTGTATAATTTGTAATGTTTAGTTTCCGTATTGTTGCACTGTTACCATCGGCGACGCCGTGTCATGCACGCAACTGAGCAGCGTGTCGAACTGCATGGTCCATTCACTGTACTTCACTTTATTTGCACAGCATTGCACTGGTACCATCGCTGCCACAATGCCATGAGATTGACGTTTGCGGCGACGAGGCGGGTGCGTCGCGACTGAGCGCGGTGGGCGCGGGGGCGGCGCCGGCCACACTGCGACTCTACTCGTATCTCACACGACGCGCCCGCAAACTACCAATTTGCACAGACGCACTTCACTGGACTTTCTTTGAAAATATAAATGCGGTTGAACTCTGTTCTTTTGAAACCACAGGAAATCATACGTAAGTTTCATGTAGAAACAATATAACAAAGAATTTAAAAATAATACGATTAATGAGCATGACGATTCATTTCTCCAAAGCATATGAATTTTCAGGTCACAGAAACGTGCCATCGTATTTACACCAGAGGAGTTGGTCGCAGGCGCTCAACAGCTAATCGAAACCGCATCGCATCTAACGATTAAATCTTTACGATCAGATGCAGAATCACGTCAGTCGTTATTAAAACTATTACGTGAGAGTGATACGTCATTTCTGTTTTTAGATTATGATATATGGACTGGAATGAATGGAATTCACATCATTGAACCACCCCTCATACCATTGTTTGACCCGGTTTGCACTCTCCGCCTCGCAAACGCTAAGGTACTGAACCAAGTTGCACCGCAGCTATACGAGACCGTTCTTCACTTCGCGCCCACAGTTAGCGAGCTGCGAACAGTCCTCGAGATAGAGGCTAATTATACCGATTTCAATATTACGGAAGCCGCCTGCTACTGGGCCATTCAAAATAATATAAGATTTGAGTCTTGGCTTGAGAAAGCACGAACATTTAAACCCAATTATTGGATAACGATATTCTTGTGCAAAGACGATGAAGACATTCAACAATACATAGAAGTTGCAAAGCGAGTCGTTAATGCAACAAGTGGCAAATTTAATAAAATAGAAATAAAGCTCGAGTTCGTAGAAGATGTTGATTGCACATGTGAATACGACCTAAAAGAAAGATTATCTAAATACCGAGAGCAATATATATGGACAGAAATGGTCGGCGCTTTAGCGACCGGTGCCGGGGCCAAAGGAGCAACATACCTTTCTGCGGAAATAGATACTGCTCTAGTCTTGTATGATACCCCAAATTTAGAAGTTAGCCCAGGAGACAGTACTCGAATCATAGGCGGACATCTCATGGACTTAATAATCGCCATTGAGCGACTCCTTCTCGCATGTAATTTAAAACGTCTTGCTATACTTTCTGATGACACACGTCTCGCTTCAGATTATGTAGACACACTTCTTGAGAATAACGTTTTAGCAGTGCGTAATGTTACACTGAAAACAAATATTTCTTTTTCTGAAATTAGAGATCTTTTACAAACTATGCAGAAATATAATGCTCGAATATTTTTTGTAAACACAGATGCAAAAATTGCAACATTGATCTTATGTGCAGCAATGAGTCTTGACATGACACAAGAAACTGGATATATATGGCTATTACGGGAGTGGCGGGCGACCAATTACACATGTGTCGATTTATCTAACCAATATAAAGCGATCAATCACATTACAATATCATTCTGGTGGCGTGGAGGTACAAATTTCTTCAACAACAGCAATGAGGAGATGCGCCAAGCATTGAATGAATTGTGGGGGGATGGAAACGTGTGGCCACAGCTAGCGACACCTTTGGCTGATGGATTAATACTGCTGCTAAATAGTTTTTATACTTTCATTGAAGGATGCGATCGAAATGTTCAAGATCTCCACGGAGACGGCACTACTAAGTAATAAATTAATATTACTTTCTATATATTAGTTTACGGTGAAATTACTTAATTTGTAACGGAAATATTTGCAGTATATTTTGTGATATATATTTATAACTAGATGTCCCCGCGATTTCGTAAAATTAGCGTGGAATTTAACTTTATTTTTCCAAAATAAAAGTAGCCTAAGTGATTCCTTACTACATCAGCTACCTGCCAATAAAACTCCCGTCAAAATCGGTCTAGACATTTCAGAGATTAGCCGGAATAAACAGACAGACGGACAGACTGACAAAAATTGTAAAAAAAATGATTATGGTGTATATACCGTATTTATATTCATATGCATCTAGTAAAAAACAGTTGGTTATACCTAAGGTATAGTATTAACTTAGTAACATTTCTTAACTTTCAGTTTATTATGGACTAGCCTCAAGAATGGGGTTTATGGAATTACGCAAGAACTACATTCACAGAAGTATGCGTACGTTAATCCGATTATTTTTGTTGACGAGTGGCAAGGAGCGTTACGTCGCCCAATAGTCGAGTGGCAAATTACCGACGGTCAAGAAAATGGACATATGACATGTCGCTTGGGTTCCAAATACATGATTTCTGATGGAACTAAACATTGTCTGACTACGAGTTCTAATAGAGAAAAATTTATGCCACATTGTCATGATACTGCGTGGACCACAGCTATAATTACGATCATATTTGGAATGCTAGCATTGTACTCTGCAAGAAGATTAAGAGTAAAATTACTTAAAGAAAGTATTCCACATGCAATAGGGGCTCGAGAAAATATATTTGCACTCGCGGAGCATCTCGTTGATCGCACAGCCTTAGAGTTTCGCCAAGATCTTGGCTTTGGGCGATTTGGAAGGGTGCGATTTGCGATTCTTCGTGTCCCAAATCGGCCAACTGTCGTGGTCGCTGCGAAGTCGCTACATGAAAACTCGGCACCAGCTGAAGAAACCGAATTTTTACGCGAAGCATGTACTCTCGCCTCTCTTCGACATGAAAATGTGGTACGACTCATCGGCGTATGCGCTACGAACGGGCCACCTTTAGTACTTATGGAACATGCGTTTTTCGGAGATTTACTGGGATACTTACGTGAGCGCCGCCATCTCATCGAGCACGTACATGAGGAAATTCCCAAAGAAGCGACACACGTGTCCCCTCTTGCTCTTACGCAACTAGCCCGTGAAGCTTCTTCAGCGCTCGCCTACTTATCGCAGAGACGGCTGGTACACCGCGACGTGCGCGCTTCCAATTGCCTTATAGACGCTCGGCGATCATTGAAGCTGGCAGACTTCGGAATGGCCCGAGAGACGACATGTAGTGATGGGATTGCTGAATATACATGTCGACGTCGAGGCTTCTTCCCCGTGCTGTGGATGGCACCAGAGAGCCTTGACCGGGGAGTTTTCTCCGCTGCGACCGATGTATGGGCACTCGGCGTGCTAATGCTCGAGTTGGTGACACTGGGTGAGCGGCCGTACGGCGCCTGGTCTCCTCTGCGCGTACTGCGCTACGTCATTGCAGGAGGGAGGCCATCGCTGCCATGCGACGCCTCCTTAAAGACGTAAGTACAGTCTATTCTGTTATAATTAATTCATTTTAGGGACTCTTTAATGTCCAGCCAAGGAGATTTTTACACAAACGATTTACGTCGGCGGGGCACCAGTGGAGGATGATAAGATGAACACGAGGTCAGGTCAGTTAGCCCATCGTGACAAATTCACCAGGACCAGTCGTCACTTGCAGTTGCATCCAGTTGTATAACAACAAATGCTATCAAATTATTATTAGAAGGAAGAAATTTTGTTGGTTTCAATTTAAACGTATAAGAGAGGATAGAATTAATAATTGTGTCGCTGGTAGACTGTAACTCCAGTGCGGTGCACGTTACAGGCGCGGAGTGCTCCTCTCGTGCTGGCGACGTGTGCCCGGACAGCGGCCCACGGCGGCCGACATCGCAGCCTACCTGGAAGTGAACCCGCTTACCCTGTCACCAGCGTTAGAATCTATGCCACCATCCCCAGAGTATACAGCGACCAACAGATTCCATTTTAAACACAGGGAATAGCAATTTCGTTAGCATAATTGTAATACTTATAATAAAACAATTAATATATAAATATATATATACGTATATTAAAACCAATAATATAGTTCACTAATAAATCGGTTCGGTTACGAATGTTTGTTTTACTCTGATGATTTGATAATTTCAGATATTTACTACGAAGCAAGCAGTCTTAAACTACACTCTGTGTGAGGTGAGGTGAGGTGAGGGGTGTGTTTGTTTGTTTATTTACATGTAACTAAGTGATTGTAAGCGGTAATCATCGCATATATTACATATGAACATGGTTACGTCACCCCCCACCAACCTTACCCCTATCCTCTGAGGACCCCAAACCCAATCCATTATTGTAAGGTTGTCACCTGGTTACAAGTAAACATGGTGAACTATTAAAATATCATAAATACAATGAGGAAAACAGAATTCCTATCTATAATTAAATAATAACAGTCCAGGATACGGCGCGGCGTAATTGTTAGTTGAAGGTTCCCGTAGCGATAGTGAGGTGGATGGAGTATGAGCGGGCCGACATACCTACATCAAAAGAATACTGACATCAGTTAATATAAATATATTATTATAAACTTAACATTATTATTATTAACTTAACATTATAAAGAAGTGTGTTACGAAGTAACAAAATTGTATATTAAAACCACACGTGGAGATAAGTGAGAATACGTGATGTGTGGTGATGATATGTGCCGCCTTCTGTTGCTGGTGGCGATCGCCGTGACCGTCGCCACCGCCGCCACCGCCGCCACCGACTACTGCCAACGTCTCGACATTAAACTGAACCACGGTAAGAGAATTATTTTCCAAAAGGTCTTTACTGTACGGTATAATAATATTTAGGTATTAGCTCAGACTGCAGCTTCGTATTCGTTTATTTCGACACTCCGGTGACGACGACTGGGTGCTATCAGGTGTACACCACGCTACAACGGGCTAACTATTATATCTCCAATATATTTTGATTTGGTTTGATAGTAATTTGAACCCGCAGTAAATTACTAATATTATTCCTATGCTTAATGATGTATTGGATGGGTGTTATAATTACTAATTGCAAATGTTGTTTTACTCGCCGGCCTCGGGGTCTAGCGGTATAGTATTGATACCACGACTGTCACAATTGAGACGATTCTGAATTCAGATAGTCGCGGGTTAGATTCCGCGCACGGTACAAACATTCGAATTCATGTGTATGGTTGTTTGTACCGGTATGGATGTTTTATGCGTATTTTCAGTTTTAATTTACAGAACAAGTATATGTATTTATTTCAGTCGTCTAGTACCCATAAAAAAATCGCTTAGCTTGAGACTGGATAGCGCTCCAGTGAAGTACCGTAATATGTTATTATTGTTGCGTTGCGTGGAGGGAGGGACGCGGAGCGGCCGGTGAGGCGCGTGGTGGTCCGCGGGCGGCCGCGGGAGGTGTCCGTGTGGTGGTCGGGGGCGGGCGGGCGCGCCGCCGCCGCGCTGCTGCTGGCCGCCGCCGCCCGCGGCCTGCGCTACTCCGGGCTGCGGCTGCGGCGCGCGCACTCCGCCGCCGACCTCACCCGCGGCCGGAACACGTACGACACTACTACTTACCTCTCCCAAAGACACTTACATGTACACACTGATGATCTACCAATTGGTAATAGACCAGTTGTAGTATGTATGTACATGTACTACAAAACAACACAAATGTTTAGCAGAATGATTGTAAACGTTATAGTAACGGTTCGCTTTACTCCATGTTGTAATTTTATAATTCGTTATGGATTCTTGTAACAAAAATCCAATTATTTACCTGGGTCTTGTATGTTTGACTTGTAACTACGATTGTGAACACTTACATCAATGGTTAAATTAAAATTCTGTAGGCGGTTATAATCTTATTGATGGAGATAAATTCCCAGGCTGGCTTTGGCACCATCCTTTACGACCGGATGCGACAGTGATGAGTTCTGGCGGAATATGAACGGCGGGCGAAGGATGCGTATAGTGGGCGCAGGCGCGGCACCCACCACGCTGAGACTACACATGTACCACGCCAACTACGAGCACCGTCCACACCCGAGCACGCGCCCTCCTCATTAGTGAGTACACAAGTGATCACCACCAGTGACCACCGCCGGCCACCGACCGCCACACGATATATTTATAACATAACATGTGAGGGGGGAAGGCGATTGCTAGATTTAATGTCCCCATTGCTAGCAATGTACCATGTCAGGTCGACCTCCACGCGGTTCCCCCTCGAAACCATCGTGGTTAATTCCTGTTTATTTAATCACTATGGGCAAACTGACCTGACCTCATTCTCATGTTATCATCCTCCACTGGTGCCCCGCCAGCGTAAACCGTTAGCGCAGGCGGGTGCACCATTCCACTAACATCCATGAAAAAAAAACTAAACATGTTAGAAGGTGACATACAACAAGCAGATACAGTTTGTGTCCTAGACTCAAGGTGTCTAGGTACATCTACGTAGTCACTAAATATAGGTATGTAATATATGATATACAATAAAAAATCAAAAAGCTCCTAGTAATTCTACACCGAGCTAAGCACCAGATTGCTTTTTCTATCGTCCTTGAGTCTAAGTACTGAAACGATAAATATCAAATTTATATGATAAAATATCTAATATCATCATATCACAATAAACAGTTTTTTTAAATACATATAAAACAAAGTTAATAGTTAGGTAGGATATGGTACTATGTCAGTTCGGCAATAAGATTTTTTTTTGTATTTATCACTTTTAGATACAAACATATATAATAGTAGCAATTTCATTTATATTCATTATATTTTTTGTATGTTTCAGCTGTAATGATAACTCTGTAGACATGTACACTCCACTCGAGTGGAACAGCAGTGCAGTGAAAGAAGCCGCCCGTGGCGGATCACGGAACACCGTTGTCCTCCTGAGTTCTGATGCAGAACCACGCAAACAACTGTTCCACTTACTACAAGGAAATTCCTCGTTCTTGTTCCTAGACTACGACATATGGCGAGGCGTGTCCGGCGTGCGCGCCATACGAACAGTAGCCCCTACGACGCCGGCCTCGGACTCCGTCTGCTCTTTCCGGCTAGCCACGACTGCGCTGCAACGAATCGCGCCTCCCTTGTATAATGTGATGCGGCGGTACTCTCCACTCGACAGTGATCTCCGACAGGTGCTGGAGCTGGAGGCGCGCTATTCAAATATAACCGAGGCCGCCTGCGCCTGGGCCCACGCGAACGGCGACAGATTCGAATCTTGGTTCCGCGAAGACTCCACGCCCGCATACAGAGCGGTGGTATTTCTATGTAAGAACGATTTAGAAAAAGAAGAGTACGATGACGCCGTTACTACGATTACAACAATAATGGAACGCCGCATGAGACGATTTCATCTAGAAGTTTGGAAATACGAAATAACATGCGAGGACCAATACGATGCGATGCGGATACTCCAGCAGCTGAAATTGAGCTCGAAATGGGCCCGCACACTGGGCGTGGTGTCTGCGGGCGACGGGGCGGCCGCCGCCGCGCGGCTCGCCTCCGACGCGGACGTCGCGCTGCTCTGGTACGAGGCGCCCCCCTCGCCCCCCGCGCCCCCCGCGCCCGCCTCCCGCCGGCCCCGCAGCGCCGCCGCCGCGCCGCGCCGCGTGGTGTCTGCGCTGCGCCGCCTGCTCGCCGCCTGCCGCTGGAGCCGGCTGGCCGTGCTCTCGGAGGCCTCGCGCCTCGCCGACGCTTTCCTCCACGACCTAATGGCGAGTGACGATCTACTGATCCATAATATCCCCCTGACGGACGACACCGTCGGACGCTCGCTAGACGCCTTGCGCGAAGCCGACGCCCGTATCGTTTTCTTGAATGCCGACGCCAAGAAAGCGATGGTCGTTTTATGCGAGGCGTTCGAGAGGGATATGACGCCGAATTCCGGACACGTTTGGATAATGCGAGAGTGGTACGGAGTTCGACCGCCGACGGAGAGAGAGCGAAACTGTTACGGACGGCTGAGCCATTACACGGTATCGTTCTCTTGGCGCGGTGGGATTTTGAATCCAAAAATCAGTGGCACCGACGAGGAGATGCGTCGCGCCCTCGACGCCCTGTGGACGAACAGGCCCTGGCCGAGGCTCGCCGCGCCTCTCGCCGACGCGTTCATACTACTGCTGAACAGTTTTAATGATTTCATTCAAAAGTACCCCCTTTATCAGTACGATCTGCACGCCCGCAACACTACTCGGTATGTACTTACATTCGTCAATGTTTTTATTAAGTTACTGTTTATTGTCTAATGTAAACTGCACCGCTTATATTTTTTATAACTATGATTATCGAGTGGTCAGTATAAAATTTTTGTACGTCTAAAAGTGGAGATCAATTATAACAAGAAACCACAAACACGCAGCTGGAAATGCTGTATATATATAATTATAATAATGGTTTATTTAACCACAAGATTACAAAATTAAAAAGTACATAATAGTTGAGGTTAGTTAGGTAAGTCATTAAATGGAATGAAACAATCTCAAAATAGCATAAAAGTGTAATAATAATATTATTTTTGTACTGTATTTAAATATTTAAATAAATAAAATGCTAAATTGCGCTTCACATTTAATTAGGCCGTTCCCGCCATTTTTACAAAACAGGCTCTGTCAACTGCACAGAGTACGTTATGAACAATATTAATTATGCCAAAGACTATCTATACTACAATCCCTCCCCCAATTATTTTAAAAATTATACAAAATGTTTTTTTTTTACAACAAATTACATTTTAAAACTAATACTTATAATTAACTTTTTTGTTTCTCGTGGATCTTATTGGATTACGGCCTCTATTTATAACATTGGGCACTGCTTCTGTAACTAACATATCATCAGCTCGAGTATCCTCCGCTATTTTCGTTATAGTTGTTGAATCTGATAGACCAGATATTCCTTCTCCTGGGTCTATATCTATGGTGATTGTTCCCATGATTCCTTCATTGGCTACTTTTGAACTCTCTTCTGGTATGAATGATTCAACATGTGATGCTTGCGATAGATGTGTGATATGTGAC